CTGTGGGGAGCACGGCGAGGGCCATCCCCAAGTGTCCCCCACCCTGAGGGGAGGAGGGCACCGGTGCCTCCCAGAAGTTGCAGGGCTAGAGAGCGAGGACTTGGTTTTCCCTGCCCGAGGTTTGGTTTTCCCTGGGCCCCAGAGGACGCAGGCAAACAAGCTGCAGTTGCCCGAGACAAGAGCTGTCTCCCGTCTCCCCATTCCTACCCCATTTCATTCCGTGCCAAGAGGGTGAGGGGAGATGGGCCTGGAGCAGGGTAGTGTTTGGAGCCAGAGCGAGGCGAAGCGGCCTGTTGGCCCGCTCCCAGGCCCCCGCTCGGGTTTACGTTCGGAGGAGAAAGGGAAGGGAAGGGAAGGGGGCGGCTTTCCAGGCGCCGAGTGTGCAGCCTGGTTCTGAAGCAGGCCCCAGCCTCGACCTGGCACAGGGTGTGGGGCACCGCTGTACCGTGCCCGCCAGCCCCAGGCTGCTGGAGACGCCTCTTTCCAGCAGGAAAACAGATCCAAGTCGGCCAAAAAAACCCGCTTTGTCCAAATGATCTGAGCCTCCTTGATATGTGCATTTTCTGGTCTCAGCTGCCTGGGAGGGAGCTTAGGAGGGCTTTACCCGGGCTGAAGGCCCTTCCCTGCCTGGCCCCCCAGAAGCCCCCAAAGAAGGGGAGCTTGTAGGGTCACAGGGGTGGGGGGCCTTCCTCGGCAGCATCGGGGCGGGTGCTTTCCGTGCCCTGGGAGACGGATGGGGGGGCTGGTGTGAAGTGTGGCCTGTTCAGTCACATTTGCAGTAGTGAACTGCATCCTGAGATGGCGAGTCTCATGGCAGTCTGGTCAGTTATTTGCACTGTGCAGTTCTCCAAGTCAGCCAATTATATATACGTATATACCCAACACATGAAACATATTACATATAAATACATATGTATGTGTGCATATACATGTATAATTAGCTTGTGTCTGAAGGAATAAATTTGGGCCTTAAAAACAAGCAGGATGTGGCCACGCAGGGTTTTGTTTGCTAAGATAAAAACACCTCTGGCCAGCGGCCTGTGTGTGGAAACCGAATTTCTGGTGTTTCTAGGTGTTTTGCCGTTGGCAGTGGAGGCTGGGGCTGGTGGTGAAAGCTGTTTAGACGGGAAAATTTCTTCCTTTCCTTGAGACTTATTAATTCCGCAGATGAGAGCAGGGCTTCTGCCCATTTTCCTGTTTTCCCTGAAATCATCCACAAGGCCTGTTTGTCCGGAGCAGTTTTGGGGATCCCCCCCTTGATTTTCTCACTCTGGGAGCAGAGCAAACCCAGAGAAGTGCCTCTTCTTCTCTGCTTCTCCTTCCCCTGTGCTGAACCCTTCACCCTGCGGCAGGTCCTTCTCCCCTTTGGGGTCTCCTTCCCCCTCCACTTCTCCAGTCTTTCTGCACTTTGGGGCCCAGCCTGACAAACTGCAGGTTTAGTATAAGCACATAAGCGCTCTCTCACTCTCTCTCTCTCTCTCCCCCCCCCCCCGGGGGTGGGGGGGGACTTGTGCTGCAAATTTTACCTAGTAGTCTAGTGATTTCTGTAATTTCCATAGTATTTTAGGAACATTTCCGTGAAAAATGTTTCTTTTTCAAAAAGTGAAATTCTTCATTTCCAACAATAAAAAGCTTTTTTATTTTATTTTTTTCTCTCAAAGGCAGAAAAAAATTCTGTCCACAAACCACAGGCTCCTGTGAATTTTTAAAGCCTTGTTTCTGATTTCTGGGATTTCCTTTTAAACGGGGAGACTGCCTCCGCCCCTTTCAGATGCTCTTGGCTTTTGTGTTTTTACCAGCCCCCCCCCCCCATCCCCAATGCATCCCTCTGGTTTTCTTTTCTTTCCTTTTTCTTTTTTTTTTTTTTTGCCCTCCACAGCATCTCTCTGGCTTTGCTCCTAGGTGGTTTGTCCTCTCTCTGTGCTCCTCCCAGGCCGCTCTGTCCCCTGAACACTCATCCTTGCCTTGCGGGTGACTCAGCCCCAGAGAAGGTCTGAGGAGCGGGACGGTGTGTTGGCCGGCCGTGTTGGCCTCGGTCCGGGAGCTGGGTGCAGGGGTGGGAGGGGAGAGGGGAAGGGGAAGGAGACTGGGTCTGGGACAGGTAATCTGCCCACTTAACAAAAGGGGGACAGTCCCCTTTTGTCTGGGGCTCCTGAGGGGCGTGCCTGGGGCCCAGCGCTGCCACCAGTGACATGCAGGAGGCGGGGGTGGGGGGGGGCGGGGAAGGGAACAGGGTGCTTTTGCTGAGCCCCCAGGAGAGACAGACACCTTCTCTCCTGCAGCTCCTGAGGCCCCCTGAAGCAGCAGGGTTCCAGCAGCCCCCAGCCCGCAGGAGCTGGGCCGCCCCTTCTTCCTGGGCCCACCTTCAAGGTGAAGGCCATGGGCAGCAGAGGGACAATGGGTGATTGTCCTCTCTTCCTGCTTCTCCCTACAAGGGCCTGGGCTCCTCCTGCTTTATTTTATTTATTTATTTTGGGTTTGGGTCACACCCGGTTGCGGCTTAGGACTCCAGGACTCGCTCCCGATGGACCCCATGAGGTGGCCCGGGCTGGGTGGGCGTGTGCAAAGCAAGCCCCCTCTCCGGCAGGGCCACTGGGCACTCCGCCTGGGTCCATCTACCTGCCTGTCCCTCTGTCGACCTTTGACCCCGCCCTCCAGGTTAGAAGTTCCTTGACTGCGCTTAGAGATTCAGACCCAGTCTGCACCCTGCAGTCTGTGAGTGTGCAAAGGGCCCCGCTAGATGGGGGAGGCACTTGCTGTGAGTTTCTGGGGTCCCCTCCTGCCTTTAGGGGAGGTTGTGGTCCCAAGGCAGGGCTCTGGGGCTTGTGCTCTACCCAGGAAGCTGCTCTTGGGCATTGCCCCATGCTCCCATGCAGAGGGTCAGATAGGCGGGGCTGCAGGGCCCCAGGGCACCTCCTGGGTCCAGATTCAGCGCAGGCTTTGCATTGGCACATCCCAGACGCTCTTCCGGGAACCTCCGCCTGGCTCAAACGCCCCAGACACGGCATGGGGTTCAGAGGGGAAGAAGGGGCACAGCTGCACCCTGACCTTTCTGCTGTTGGCCCAGCTTGGCCTCAGGAGAGGGCGGCTGCAGAGAGTGGCCCGGGGAACCTGGGTTGGCCTCTCTCACCTCTTCGGAAGCGCCCAGGCCAGCGGCTGGGAGGGCTGGAGGCTTATGGGGAGGGCCCTCCCCCCGCCCCCCTCCCCCCCCCCCCCCCCCCCCCGCCACCTTCCTCCTGTCTAGGAAGAAGCCCCAACTGCAAGGGTCCCCCTTGCCAGGCTGCTGCTGTGACTCAGTTTCCCCCAGGCTCCTGGACTATCTGCCTCCCTTTGGGTTCTGTGCTTCCGTCCCCTCTCATGTAGATTGGCCCCATCTGGCTCCTTCTGAGCTGGGGGCACCAGTGTGGGCAGACCTGGGCAGTGTCCCCCTCCCCAGCCTCCTGACCCGGAAAGAGCCCCTGCCTCCTGGTGCCTGCCGCTGGTGTGTGTGTGTGAGGAGGGGTCCATCCTTGTCTCCTGCCTTTGTCACTTCTGCCCAGTTGGCTGCTGCGTGTCACGCTCACTCATCAGCCCATGGTGATGCTGTGGCAGGAGGCGATTTTAATAAACTGTTGCCATTTCTTGAGCGAGCTAGTGAGGCGCCTCGCGTTGGCATCCCTCGTCACCACCAATGGAGCGTGCGTGGCTGGGTGTGGGCTGTGCTCGCTCACTGGGGGCTGCAGTGCCCCCCCAAGGGCCTGGGAGCACCCCTGCAGGCAGCGGCCAGACAGGGCCGGTGCCACGGGGTCCCCGCCCTGGAACTGCCGGCATCCCCACTTCCCGAGCGAGCGCTCGCTCTTTCTTCTCCTCTTTCTATTCATAGCACCGGCTCCAGTGTACGGCCGCGAGGAGAGGAGGAAAACTTCCACTCGCCCCGTGTGATCCATAAATAAAAAGAGAAATGGAAGCAGAGAAAGAGAGGGTGCGGGCCGGGAAAAGAGGCTGAAATCCAAACAGGAGGCACAGCTGCTCTCCCAAGGCCTCTGGGGCGCCCGCTCCACTCAGGCCTTTTATTTATTTATTTTTCTGGCTTAAAAGAAAAAAAAAGGGAAAAAAATCATGGCCTCTCCCATCCCCATCTCCCCACCCCCACCCCCACCCCAAATTTGCTGGGTGGCCGCTGCCAAATGGACCTGAGTGGGAGCCTGGAATGAAAAATTCAAAACTGCTGGACTCTGCTTGTTCATTAGACGTGAACTTGTCGATTGGGCAAATTGGTTCTGGTCTCCAACTGCCGGGGGCTCTCCCCACCCTCCCAGCTCCCCGCTTCCCTCCTCCCCCTGGATGCAGCCATTGGCTGCTGGAGGAGGTCTCCTTGCCAAATAGGTGGGTCCTCTCTCTCTCTTTCTCTCTCTCCCTCTCTCTCTCCTTCCTTCCCCCCTTTTTACTGGCTTTGGCACCAGCAAATGGATGGGGATTGAGCATGAAAGGGGAGAGAGAGGGAGTTTGAGAGAGAAAAGAAGGGGGGGGAACAAGCCAACAACCCCAGACCCAAGCAGTGTGCGCGCTCGCACACGCGCACACACGCACACACCGGCTCTCGCGCGTGTGCACGCGGAAACTGCTCCATCCCGTCCTCGGCGCCTCGCTCTGCCTCTCCCCGGCTCCCTCCCGCCCGCCCGCCCTCTCCCTCCGCCCTCCCGCTCTCGCACGCGTCTGCCAGCGACGATCCGCAGCCGGTCCGAACTCGTCCTCTTCCCGGGAAACCGCGAGCTCCTCCTTAGGCTGCGATCCGGCTCGGAGGCGGAGGAGGGAGGCAGCTCCAAGTTTACACCCTGAGCCGCTGCCAAAGCCGAAAGCCTTTTTCCTCAGCTGCCGCCTTTCCCCTCCTGGTTCTTGTTTTTGTTTTTGTTTGCACGGGGGTGGGGTAGGGTGTGTTGTGTGTGTGTGTGCGCGCGTGCGTGTGTGTGTGTGTGTGCTGTGTGTGTGCACGTGGGGGTGGAGGTAGGTTTTGATTTTTTTCATTTTCCATATTTTTCTTTTTAAACTGGAAAAAGAGGCACAGGGGGCAAAATTGAAAATACATTTTTTTGGGGGGGTTGGCTTTTGTTTACCTGGCGCGTGTGGCAGCCGGTTCCCTCCCTCTCTTCGCTCACCACCCCTGACCTTCCTTTCTTTTTTTGCTCCTTTTCAAAAAAAAAATATTAATTTCCCCCTCTGTAGAATGGAGTGTGGTGGGAGGAGGGAGGGGGAAGGGTTTGCGAATCCACCCAAGCCCAGCCCCTATTCCCCAGAACACCAATAATAACCCCCTTTAAAACATTTACCTTCCTCCCCTGCTCCTCCCCTCCCCTCCCCCACCCGCCCCCAACTCACAACTCTGTGCGGTCCAGAAGCTCAGAATCGGGCGTTGGGCTTTGCCGGGTGCTCCAGATCGATGGTAATTATTTATTTTCTCCAGGTTTATTTTTGTAAACAGAAATCAATTCTTATTTAAACTTCAAACCAACAAGCCAAAAAAGAAAAGAAAAAAGAAAGAAAGCAAGACCAAAAAGCGAGCGCCTGGCCCTGTCACCTGCGTGGGAAAGAGGGTGCAGGGGTCAGTGGGGGCGGGGGGAGGCTACAGGAGACCCCCATGTAGCTTTGAACCCTGCCGTGGCCGAGACCACCACCTTGTTTCTGCTCAGAAGAAGCAGTTTTGTTCCTTATCACTGTGATTACCATTAGTATTGGTGTCTCTAACAAAGCTGAAATCACATATTTGGGGGTTAGCGCTGATTACAGAAATGTTGGGGTGGCTGTTCCAACTGGAGCAGGGGGAAGGGGAGCGCAGACAGCCTGGGGAGGGGGCGGGCGGACGGGCTGCAGTGGCTGGGGGCGGGGAGGGGGTGTCCTTTCTTCTTGGGGGAGGCCCAAGCCTGGCCAGTGTCAGGGCGCGAAGGCACAGCCTGGGGGACCCGTGCGTGCGGCGGCCGCGGCGGCACAGACTGGACTCCGAGGGCCGAGCTGACACGGGGTGGCGGCGGTGGCAGCGGTGACACACCGCGGAGATGTCAGGGGCGCGACAGAGACTGGCGGAGATTCCAGCAGAGTGTGTGTGTGTGTGTGTGTGTGTGTGTGTGTGTGTGTGTGTGTTGTCTGTGCGTGAGAGAGAGAGAGAGAGAGAGAGAGAGAGAGAGAGGGAGGGAGGGAGGGAGAGAGAGAGAATGAATAGGTGTGTGCTCAGGCGCGGGGATCTGGCTGGCTTCAGGCTGAGTGAGGTGGGAGCAGGCAGAGGGCTGGGCTGGCGGTGGCTCCAGACGACACTTTAGCTCCGTCGCAGGCGAAGAGCGTGGCGGTGGGGGCGGAGGAGAAGGCGATTTCGCCCGTGCTCCTTTCTAACACTGCTTCTCTCCACTTCTCCCCCACCCCGTCTCCCCCTCCTCCTGCGCCCCGCGCCCCGCATGCTCCCGGCTTGCCGCCTGCAGGATGAGTTCCACCCGTTCATCGAGGCGCTGCTGCCTCACGTCCGCGCGTTCTCCTACACCTGGTTCAACCTGCAGGCGCGGAAGCGCAAGTACTTCAAGAAGCACGAGAAGCGGATGTCCAAGGACGAGGAGCGGGCGGTGAAGGACGAGCTCCTGGGCGAGAAGGCCGAGATCAAGCAGAAGTGGGCGTCCCGGCTGCTGGCCAAGCTGCGCAAGGACATCCGGCCCGAGTTCCGCGAGGACTTCGTGCTGACCATCACGGGCAAGAAGCCGCCCTGCTGTGTGCTGTCCAACCCTGACCAGAAGGGCAAGATCCGCCGCATCGACTGCCTGCGCCAGGCTGACAAGGTGTGGCGGCTGGACTTGGTCATGGTCATCTTGTTTAAGGGGATCCCCCTGGAAAGTACTGATGGGGAGCGGCTCTACAAGTCGCCGCAGTGCTCGAACCCCGGCCTGTGCGTGCAGCCCCACCACATTGGAGTCACAATCAAAGAACTGGATCTTTATCTGGCTTACTTTGTCCACACTCCCGGTAGGTCACTTGCTGCGTCTGTACCCACTTGCTCTGTCTCCCTTGCGGGCGGCCGCTGTCTGTTTGGTAGAGGGTCTCCTCGCTCGGTGGTGCTCAGTGCCGGGAACTCGCTAGCTGGCTGGGCCCAGGGCGGGCATAAGCCAAGAGGCTCCCTGCAGTGGACCCACCTCCCCTCCTGCGGGTAGGTCGGTTCGGTCCTGGGACCTCTCTCTGGGAGGTTCTTTCTGCCTTCGGCTCCAAACGCTGCAGGTCTCAGGACTGGCTGGGATGCCCAGGCCTGCAGGGGAGGGTGTTGGAAAGGCAATTCCCCTTCTGCGGCCTGGGGCGGGCGGGTGCTGGTTTTCCTGAAGCAAAACCCTTGTTCCTAGCGGCCCGGGAAAGCCAGCTTGGGTCCTGGAGCGTTGGCAACCCTGTGGCCGAGAGAGGTGGGCAGAGCCAGGCGGGAGTGGGCAGGAGGCCGGAAGGCGGCTGTGGCAGCAGCGGCAGTGACGGCGGTGGCCGGTGGCGGGCTGGTCACTGGGGCTGGGATGATCACGCCCCTCCAGGTCAGCCCAGGATGTGTGCCCACACCCCGGACACCCCGGGCCTTTAGCCCAGCGCAGAAAGGGGTGCTTTGGGGGGGGTGCGTCGCAGCAGAAGGGGTTCCCCAACAGGCGGGCGGGCTGGCGGGTACCTCCAACTTTGGACTACCCCTTTGCCTTTTGTGAGTCTCCATGGGTGCCTTCTCTGGCCTCACCAGCGCTCACTTCGGGCTGTTGGTTCCCTTCTCCTTGCCCGCTGCCTCCCCTTTCCCTTTTTATAATTTCTTTCCGCTTTTGTTTTCTTACAAATTGAAACAGAGATGGCTGGTTAATTTTTAGCCTCCACTCAGCTACGCCCAATTTACTGCCGCCTTTGAAACCTAAATGGGGCGGCGCTCTGTGATTAAGCCAGGCACGAGCATGTTTACATTATGCCCAACCAACTTGTAATGAGAGGCTCTCCCAAACCTCCGTGCCTCCCTCTGCACCGGTCCTGGCTTCCCCCAGTCCCAGCCTTGCCTCCTTCCTCAGGCTGCTGGCCCAGCGGGGGGGAGGGACCAGCAGCAGAGAGTGGGGGCAAAGGAAGCGGGTGTGGGGTGTGGGCGCAGGGAGGAGGGTCTAGGGTGCTGGGCACAGGGCAGCTTCTCCCTAGCCGGGCTCCCGCTGGGCTCCGCAGTCTAGTGTTGGTGCCCTGGGCTGGGGTGAGAGTGTTTCTGCGGGGTGTGCGGTGTGCATGGGGGGCTTTCTTCCTGCTCATTCCCTGAAAGTGAAAGCCATTCTCTTTGATGCCCTGGTCCTCGATTTACCTGTTTTGGAAGTTGAGGGGAGCTAGATGGGCTTCTTCCAGAGAGACCTGGGGGGCTCAGCACACTGCAGGCCCTGGAGAGTTCTGTGTAGGCCCGGTGGCGTTACTCTTTTTTCTTGCTCCTTGTCACATGCTCCTTGAGAGGTGGTGCTGGCAGTGGCCCCCCCGCCCCTCGCTTCCAACCCTCCATGAACCTCGGAGGCCTGGGCCTGGGAGCTGTTCCCATTCCTCCCACAGAGGGATCTGGCTGTCACTGGGCTCCAGCTGCACCCTCTGTTCTTCCTGGAAAAGTGATTTAGACGAGAACGGTGAGAAGTGACCCTGGGGGTGCCCTGGGCCAGGCAGCATCTCCTGACCTTCTAGTGCTGTCGTGCTGGGCGTGTCCCCCACCTCCCTGGCCCTGGGCCCTGTGGGCAATGTGGGGTTCTGTGACCTGGTTGATGTCGAGCACTGTTGATGTCCCTGTCCCGTTCTGCTCTACGGATGCCACCTTCCCAGGGGCCAGGGGGAAGTCAGGCAGAAGCTGAGCAGGACCCGGGCCGGGTGGTCCCAGAAAGTGTCAGCAAGGGGCTTCTCTGGTGGTGGGTTTGTGGGGAGCGTATCTTGCTTGGCGGGAGCGGAAGGGGATCTCAAGAGACCAGGTCCCCCAACCCCCAAGCTTCCCGGGCATTGGACACTGCGCTGCCACTGTGACAGGGCCTTGCCAGCGTGCCCTGGGGCACAGGGGCAGGGACCGCCAGCACCCGGCAGCAGCTGGGTGGCAGCCAGGACAACATGGTAGCTGGGCCCGGGCGGGAACTTTCCTCTTCCCGTGGCCCCCCAGTCGCCCTGGTTTGGTCCTCCTAGAAGCTTCCGCTCAAGAGAGAATGGGGTCGTGCATGGTGGCCGTGGGGTGTGCCCACAGCCTGCTGGGGGCCTGTGGGCCTGAGCTTGTGGGGACACCGACCTGGCAGGAGGAGACATCTCGTGGAGCCCTTCCTTCCGAGGGTAGGTGGTGGAGCTGGAGGGGGGCCAGGAGGAAGCTGGCTGAGCTGGTCTCGATTGTCCCCCAGGCTTCAGCAGCACCTTCCGGGCCTGTCCTCCCCGTGACCACTAGCCTGGGAAGGGAAAGAACCCGCGATGTTTGCTCTCTCTGCCCTGCCCCGTCAGTCAGCAGCCCTCAGAGCAGCCCTGGGGGCCCAGGTGTCCGACGGTGACTGTGAAATGCAGCTTGGTCGCTGCCGAAGGACCCCGGCACCCTGGGTGTCCGGTCTTGCCTCTGCTCGTCTCCCACTGTTCTGCCTGCTGGGTGGCCAGAGCAAATCCTGGCGTCCGGATCACACAGAAAGATTCCTATGGGGGCTGGAGCAGTAGCACAGCGGGTAGGGCATTTGCCTTGCACGCGGCCAACCCGGGTTTGATTCCCAGCATCCCATATGGTCCCCCGAGCATTGCCGGGAGTAATTCCTGAGTGAAGAGCCAGGAGTAACCCCTGTGCATCGCCGGGTGTGACCCAGAAAGCAGAAAAAAAAAAAAAAGAAAGATTCCTGCGTGGAGTCTGGGGCTCTGGGCTCAGAGCACGGGAGCACAGGGAAACCTGACATTTCTGTGGCTCCCCAGCCAGCCAGTCTGTGCCCACGTCTCCCCAATGTCTCCAGACCATCCGTCCGTATGGCTGCCCGTCTGGCTCCACCGTCGGCTCAGGGTTCAGATTCCACATCGGACCCAGGCGCTACAGTGTCTCCTGCAGACCTTCCCTCCAGCCAGGCCGCCTGCCCTCCCTCTGCCAGCTCCATCTCTCTCCTGCCATCTGTGGCGGGGACATCTCGTGTCTCTCTGGACGCTGCGGCCTGTGCCCTTCTGGCGGCCCTGCATGGCCCCTACCTCTGGCCACAGGGAAGGTTTGCCTGAGTAAGCTTCGCTTTCTGCTCAGGGCAGGCAGCCTGGAAGTGGGCACCAGGTTTGGGGTCCGAGGGAGGGCTCCTGTGTTTGGCTTCCTCAGTAGTGGTGGCCCCCACTGGCTCATGCCAGCCTGCCAGGAGGTGACTGGCAGCTCCGCCAGGTCGAGGGGCTGGTATGTGAGCCCAGAGGGTTCAGGCTCGATCTCCTGCCAGGGCCCCTGTGCCACCTCACCCCGGCCTCCCTTTCCAGGGTTCAGAAATGCCACAGAGGCAGCGCCATCTGGTGCCAGGGCTGGGGAGGACCTCAGGCCTCAGGGACCAGAGGCCCAAAGGCAGCAAGTGAAAAGGTGTGTGACTGTGAGGGGTGAGAGAGCATGGAGCGTGTATTAGAGCGTGTGTGACTATGAGAGGGTGGGAGAGTGTGGGAGCGTGTGTAAGAATGTGAGGGGGTGAGTGAGTGAGAGTGGGAGCATGTGTATAAAAGTGTGCGGTGAGAGAGGATGAGAAGGAAGAGGAGGATGAAGGGGGATGGAGAAGGAGAATGAAGTAGCATGGGGGCAGAGATAGAGAGACAGATGAGGAGAGAATCAGAATAAACTACAACTAATACCTAAAAAAAAAAAAGTGTGCGGTGTATGAGAGTGTGTGTAAGGGTCTGAGAGGGCACGGGAGTGTGTGGTGTATGAATCTGTGAGACGGTGTGCAGGAGTGAGTGTGTAAGAGTGTGTGATTGTGTTGTATGAGAGTATGTGGTGTATGTATTTGTGGCGTATGCGGTAATGTGTATAGAGTGTTTGGGGTGTGTGTGCAGTGTGTGAGAGTGTTTGTGTGGTATGTGTTTGTGTGTATAGTGTGTGTGATGTATGAATGTGGTGTGTGTGGTGTGTATGTTTGTGGTGTGTGTGTAGTATGTGAGTGTGTGGTGTGTTTGTGGAGTGTGTGTTTGGGGTGTGTGAGTGTATGGTGTGTATATTTGTGGTCTGTGTGGTGTGTGAGAGTGTGGTGTGGGTGAGTGTGTGGTGTGTGTCTGTGGTGTTCGTGTGGTGTGTGTGTGGTGTGTTTGTGGAATGTATGTTTGTGGTTTATGTTTGGTGTCTGAATGTGTGGTGTGTGTGTGGTGTGTGAGAGTGTTTGTGGTGTGGGTGAGTGTGTGGTGTGTGTGTCTGTGGTGTTCGTGTGGTATGTGAGTGTGTGGTGTGTTTGTGGAGTGTATGTTTGTGGTGTATGTGTGGTGTGTGAGAGTGTTTGTGGTGTGGGTGAGTGTGTGGTATGTGTATCTGTGGTGTTTGTGTGGTGTGTGTTTGTGGTGTATAGTGTGTGTTTGTGGTGTGTGAGTGTAGTGTGTGTGGACATAGAACTGTGTCCTGCCCATTCTGAGTTCTGCGGCTGCGTTCTCCCATGTTTGAAGGGTCCCCCCGTCAGAGCACCCCGAATGGCCAACTCCTGGCTAATGGTGAGTGGGGTCAGTCTCACCCGTGGCCCTGACCCACGGGCTGCTCTGCTGTCATGGCTGGCTCTGTAAGCTCTAGGCCTTCGCCCTGTCGCTTCCGCTGACTTTCTCTGTCCCTGTAGTGGCCTCAGGTGAGAGCCTCCAGCCACCAGACTCCGTGCTGCCTCTAGGCTGTTGGGCCCAACGTCACTGGTCCTCACGCTCCCTGTGACCGTTTGGATGAGAGGCGGAACTCGATTCCCAGAAAAGTCAATCCCAGCCTGCCCTGGGCACTCCCTGATTATCGGGCCTTGGCGGGGAGCAGCATGGGAACAGAAACAGGGTGATGAGTGGGTGCTGCAGGG